ACAGGTTATTACACTAAAACCTGTGTAATATGGATCCTCTAATAAGCGAAAATATGTCTAAAATAGATCCTCTACAACCGAAACTTGTCTAAAGCAGAATATATTGAATGATTATGATTAAGTATTCTTATTCAAAGCTGTTTAATAAAACACTAATATAAACCGGAAATCTGTCTAACAAAGAAATCAAAGTTAGAAATCATGCAACCAATATTCCAACATTAAATTGAACTTAAGTAACGAAACACTTCAAATTTTCAATGCAAATTTTTGACCTAATTACAAAATTGTACAGTAAATTTTGCGTATAAATATCTTTAATTGCATACACATTGTACTTACCTATGCAATTTCTTGGCNTTATCAGGATAATCAACAGATTTGACAATGAAATGACGTAAAATATTGCTTATAATAATCTTCTCTTCCATCAATGCAAATTTTTGACCTAATTACAAAATTGTACAGTAAATTTTGCATATAAATATCTTTAATTGCATACACATTGTACTTACCTATGCAATTTCTTGGCCCTGCCGAAAAGGGGATGAAGGCGAAAGGATGTCTTCCTTTACAGTTTTCTGGCAGGAACCGATCGGGATCGAATACTTCAGGATTTGGATAATATTCGGGATCGTGATGTAGCGAATAAATTTCAATAAAAATAAAGGAATTTGCTGGTATCGTCATTGTATCATCTAAAAATATATATGATTCTTTCATTCTTTTTTTCATTTTAAAGTACGAAATAATATCGAGTTAAATTGCTTACTTAATTTTAAGTCTTCTTTACTTTGTCTTGCGATGACTGGAACTGATGGATATAACCTAAGAGTTTCCTAAATTTACAAGATTAAGATAAATAACAGCCTTTCTTTGTTTATTCTTTTCAAATGGAAGACAGAAAAACGTATGATCTGATGTAATAATGATTTTATTAAGATTTTACAATAATAATATGTACTTTAATTGTCTTCATTCATTAATCTCTTAATATAGTTGCATAAAACCGTTTTTATAATATGTCTAACAGAGAGAAGTTTAATATCCACACAAATTTGCATTTACAAAAACCTTAAAAACTTTCTAAGACATCAAACTATTATGAAAAAATAAAATAGAAAACTAAAACTCTGTCCTTTATAACTTTAAAACCTTAAGAATTGAAGAAATCCAGTTTTACTCACTCATTTTGTATATACAGTCGACCCCCCTATAAGATCGTTGATTTTTCCGTTTTATCTGAATTACATGTTGTACGAGTCACTTAGATTTTACAAATATGTGAGCCGTTCACAGCCCGGCACATGTATTTGTAAAATCTAAGTGACTCGTACAACATGTAATTCAGATAAAACGGAAAAATCAATGATCTTATAGGGGG